TCTTATTTAATATTATAACCTTAAAGTCTTAAGGTATTTCATTAAAAAAATTTGAAAAAATTTGTTATACTAAACATATGTTATTTATATACATATGTATAGAAAAATATACTTTAATACGCTGCGTCGACCAGAATCCGGGTAAATTATATAAAATCAAACGCAGATTTTCTTGATTTTTACACACACTCCGCCTCTCCTCACACACACACACACACACACACACACACACACACACACACACACACACACACACACACACACACACATGGGGTCCTTTTTTTTGATACTCACTCAGTTGTTTTTGGCTAGTAAAAGCCAAAAACTAATAGTTTGAAAGTAGTTAAAAGTTTTTTTGTTGCTGTTTTTTATTCTGAAATAAAGTAGGACATACATTATGGACGATTCTTTTGATTGCAATGTTGGAAAAAAAGATAACAAGGTTTGACTTCAAATTTCAAAGAAAACGCGTAATTCGTAGTTCGAAAAAGTCAAGAATATTCAAACAATTACCACCTTTATTATTTATTTTTTTAACTTAGTGTTTTGCATTTTACATTTATAAAAATTTCTGTTTACTGCTCGGTGCAGTTAAAGTAATTTTAAAATATTTTAGCGTCTGTATGATATTTCATTGACAACGACTTATTTCCGTTAATTGATCAGGTCTATGAATTATGAAATGACAAAAAAGTTAAAATAATAAATTTTGTGGTACCATAAAATGTTTGTAGAGAATAAACCCAGGCCGAAAATTAAAAAAAAAAAACCTTTTAAAATCACAATCGCTTGTCCAAAGTTGAATAAGATTTTAAATAAATATGTTTTTTAGGTGAAATCTTAAACATTATATTTTAATAATATGATCTGTTCTTATTGTTTATTCGCAATTTTTCTAAGTATAAGCTCTTTCTTGGTCAGAATTCTAGTATTTTTTGTGAAAATTGATAGAAATATTGTATTTTGACAACTATATATAGTTAATGTACGTCAGAACCGATTAGAACTAGGATCTATAGTGGGTTAAAGCACTTTTTCAATTTTTTTTACTAATTTCGTGTTAACGCCGATGAGCGAAAGTGATCTTAAGACCACCGAGTGGTGTTCTTTAGACTTACTATTAGAAGTAGTAAAAAGGTTTTAAAAGTTTTATAAAAAAAGTTTCTTCAAATATTTAAAAACCTGAATCAAAAAAAATTATAACATCTACAGCTCGTGTTTGGACATTCTACGTTGATAAAATCATGCTAATTTCAAATAAAAGAATATTTTGTTAATCGCCTTAGCTCACCGAGAGAAAAAAACTTTTTTTCAAAAGCTTTCAAAATTTAAGAAAAAATTAAGAAGATTTTAATTTTTTTCATATTTTACTTTTAACATTTAAATTTTTAAACTAATCTTTTATTTAAATAAAACAATTCTTAGTGACATTTATTGAAAGATTATTTGGCTGTAAATTTTATCCTTTTATAAAACAAAATTTAATTACAAATTTAAATACAAAAATAAATATTAAAATATAAAAGTGAATGTTTTAATGTTAGTGGGTCTTTTTTAGAAAAAATTTTAATATTTTAGAATATTATTCTAGAAGCATAAGAAAATTTTATTTATTTAAACCAAGAAAACTATGCATGCTTCATATATTAGATTGCATGCATCATGCATTAGATTGTATGCATCATGCATTATATTGCATGCATCATGCATTAGATTGCATGCATCATGCATTAGATTGCATGCATTATGCATGCAATCTAATGCATGCAATCTAATAGTTTTATTATACATTTAATTCATATTTTTGATACATGTTTTTACTTTAAGTTTTTAGTTTTAAAGACAAGCTTAAATAAAAACAATAAAACTAAAAATTGTCTTTAAGTACTAAATCTGTATTACATTGACATTGAATACTGAATATGTATTGCATTGTCAATAACTATTTTGCTTTTCTTTTTTGTTGAAAGTTTATCAGCTTTGCATATCGCCGCACGTTACAATCAGCCCGACTGCGTTATAGTTCTTCTTGAAAATGGAGCTGATGCTAATAAAAAAGATAATTTTGGTTTTCAAGCATGTCACGATGCATCATTAAAAGGTCATTATGAATGTTTATATAATATTTTAAAGTATCAAAAGTTTCCAGTTTCAGTAAAAGATTTAGATTACATAACACCCATGTTTTATGCAATTCAAAATAACCACACAGAGTGTTTAAATCTACTTACCGAATATATGACAATATCAAGTAATGCTGTTGTTGAAATATATTCAAAACGAAATGTTGATAGCCGAGTTCTTCAGATGGTTGACCCGCAAAAAATAGGTTAATTTTTTTTTAAAGCTATATTCATTATGCTCGTCATTATTGTTATTAAGTTTTAACTTATTATTATTATAACCCCTCAGCTTTTTTCAGCGTTAATTGCATTTTTTAGTGTTGATTTTTTTAGTGTTCAAAAGTGAAGTTTTAGGCATAAAACAAACTTAAAATTTGTGTGTAAACAAACCTATCATAAATAAATATGCTTCCGAAAATTGCAACATTTGTAAATTTTGGGAAAAGGTTTTATCATCTTTCCCTGTTGATGCCAATTGAATTTTTTTTTATATATATCAATCAGACAATAAAAATTATAATACTAAAAAAATATTAAGTAAAATACTTATAAATATTATTAAATCTTTTAAAATTAATTTAATTTTTAAAATAGTTACGAAAATATACTGTATTTTAGTGGATGCACGCATTGACGGATCCAGGAATTTTTGGTGGTGGTGGTGGGGGTCAATGTTGAAATATTTTGTATCACAGTTGCGTCTCTTTAAAAGTAAAAAAAAGGTCCTCACTAAAGGTCCTTCACTAAAGAGATTTTTTTCGCTACTAAAAAACTTAAAAGTATTGTTTAATAATGATAAAATTTATGTTGTTTTATATAGACTTACCAATTGACAAAATAAGCGAGTATCTTAATAACTGCGCAATGAACGGAGATCCGAAAGCATTTTATTGGTTTAAAATGAACATAAAAAACATTTCACAAGAACAAATTAACCAATCTATGTTAGTCGCTGTGCAACATGGTTGGATTAATTATGTGGAGAGCTTACTAAACGAGGGATCTGATGTAAACACAAGAAGTAAAGATCAATCTACAGCACTTCATTACGCAGCCAAGTATTTTTGCTTTTCTAAATGAATAATTGAGAACTTTTTTACAAAAACCACCTTTATCAAGTTAAATAGTTTTAAAGTAAAATTTCTTCTTCACATCTTCATAATTAACTCATATTTAACAACTGTTAAAAGCAAATATCTCATGACTAAATTTGTTTTTTAAAAAATATATAAAATATAATAAAAAAACTTAAAAATTCTTTACAAGATGACGTACCTAAATCGTATTTATGACACTTATGAAAAAGGTGGTTTTGGAAATAAAGTCTTAAATTGTTGTTTGTCCAAAAAATATAACAATTAATCAATATATTTTATAGTACGGTTGACAATATTTTTTTACTTTGTTAAAATATTGTCATCAAATAAAAAGTAGTTAACAAAATAACTCGTTGGAAAATTTTTTTCATGATCTCTAACAATTTTGTTTCTACTCTAACACAAACTATTTTGTGCTCATCGTCACCAGCATATCCTTAAAGGTAATGTCCGTGAAGTTTCGTCTACATTAAAGTTATGATTTTTTTGTGATCTCATGTTTCAATCGAGTTAATATTTGTTTAAGTTACTTTTAAAAAAACTCGATTTTCTTGTTAGAAAAGGTCACCCACAAACCAAAAACTCAAATTTACGATATATGTGTATCGATAAAATTTCAAACAATTTTATGATCGTTATTTTCAAATTCTAATTATTTTAATTGGAGAGTTATTATGTAGTTTTTAAGCATTCAACAGTTTATTGCTACACCATAACACTCAAAATTACAAATAAATATAAAATTACAAACTTAATGTAAACTTAAACTCAAGTACGAAAAGCTACTGCATCAATAGAAAAAATGTACTAAATGTGTAGTATTCAGCTTAATTAAAGCGCAATATACAACCCGTATGCTTAGTTAGACAAAATAAATCCAAGGTCAAGGTTCTTGAGGTCAAGATTCTCAAGGTTGAGGTTCTCAAGGTCGAGATTTTCTCACTTTTTATAGATAAAAATAAATCTTAAAAACACTTGCTCATTATGCACACTAATTTATTCTGGGAATTTCCATAGTTCTTGATTCAAAAACTTTTTCACTGAGTTTAACGCGTTTTCATGACCGTGCAAGCTTTCAACAATCACATTATACAAATGGACAATGCAGATAATTATTGGAAACCAATCGTCCATTCATCTGTAAAAGATGAATCAACAAATATCGAGAAATGAGTTTCTTCTCTCTGGTAGAAGAGTAAATGTTAAAAGAGCTAGTATTGCTTGGGAATTTTATCTTGTATTATTTAATTTAGGTATTTTTTGAAACTTGACTTGAGGAAATATTCTTCAAAAAAGCGGAATACTATAGTTGAATGAAATAGAAACTTCATATCTACACGCCATCCTGCTGTTTCAGGAATCACTTTTTTACCATTGCTGAAGTTCTTCCAAAGCTGTTTGTAGTTTTTTTACAAGTTCTGGGATTAACAGATATTTAATATTAGACTACATGTTTTTTTTTTTAAGTTCTTAATCCATTATAATGAAAAGGATTTGGTAAAAATCATGTGTAAAAATGTTTTGCCCGTACGATTTGAATTGATAAATTTGGAAAATTTAGTTTTTTTGCAATAAACTTTTTACTTCTTTTTCGATTTGTTTTATGCGTTCTCGTCTCCCTGATTGGTTCTCCCTGGAACAGACATACAATTTGGATTTTGAGTGGTATCCTGCTCTCATTTTCTGCCAGTGATTGTTGTTTTGGTGGAACAGATCTTCTTATCCTATGTTACTCATAAAACCGTTCGGCATTCTTCATCCAGGTTGTCTTTTTCCTTTCAGTAGTGGAAGCACTTTTCTTATAGAGCATTATGATTGAAAACAATACTTGAATATGTTGCTAAAATAACATTAAATATAAGTAATGCTATTGTACTTCTTTATTATTTGACTGCCATTTGACAAATACAGATTTATATATTACTATTAGCGTTCAATCAGGCAGCTTATATAGTCTAAATCTTGCCAATTTCCATAAACTTCTAAAAGACTCAGAAATTTCTAAAAACATCCATAACAGTTCAGAAAATTCTAGAAAATTCCATAAGGTTCAAGAAAATTCTAAGCTTTAGAAAGTCATAATGCTTCTGCCTGCTAATAATACTTTTAAAATTTTGTGTTGTTGGTAGGGTTGCCAAATGTCCGGTTTTTACAAATGAGAACACAGCAAAAAAATTTATTTTTAAAGATTTGACGCTTTATTCTCCTCCGTAAAAGCCGGACGTCTGGCAACCCTTGTTGTGCGTGACCTTTTTTTAAAATTATTTCAGAATAAAACCTATTTTCATAAATTTGAGAAAAAGTTCATCGCTTTATATCACAGGAAATTAACTATTTTATAAAAAGTTACAAAAATAAGTTTTAACCCTAGTACATATGTATATATATATATATATATATATATATATATATATATATATATATATATATATATATATATATATATATATATATATATATATATATATATATATATATATATATATATATATATAAACAAATATTGTTTATAAAATTTTTCAAAATAAAAAAAATTATGTATATATATATATATATATATATATATATATATATATATATATATATATATATATATATATAATATATATATATATATATATATATATATATATATATATATATATATATATATATATATATATATATATATATATATATATATATATATATATATATATATATATATATATATATATATATATATATATATATATATATATATATATATATGAATACTAGTAGGATAGATAATGTAAAATCAGTAGTTGTACACGCAATTTTATTTGACGTTTTTTGACGTCAAAATGAAATGATACAAAAAACTGTTAATGACGTCAAAAAACGTCAAATAAAAGTATAATGGCGCTTTTTTTTATTTACTTAAAACGTTTTTTATTTACTTAAACAACCATAACTCCTTTATAAATTAATTTTTTTTCGGCAAGACTACCCACCGATTGAGTTAGAAAAAAGTTCATTTTTTACTTTATTGCTATACATTATGGTTTTCGAGTTTACCGCGAAAACGAAAATTACTAAATTTGAAATTAAACAAATGTTTAATTGAGTGATTTATGTGATCCATAAAAATTAAAAAAGTTTTTATGGATCACATAAATCACACAAAAATATCCTGAAACTATTTGGTAACATTTTTATTGAGCTGCCTTATTAGCAATATGCCAATGTAGAGCAAACTTAAATATGCCATACGTATCTAGTTTTAAGTTCCTTTTCACAATCATTTTTTACATTCTTTGTTTACATTAAACACTATTAATAATTAAAGTTAAGTTATAAAAATAAGATTTTTTTTGAATTTATTACTAAAATTGCTTCTCTAAATGAGAAAAATAATATTTTGAATTAAAAACAAAATCATTAAACTGTAAACAGCATCACCAAATGGCAGTAATATATTCAATTATATAAATAACTTGTTGTCCCGATTTGCCCCACAAAAGTCAATTTTATGCCTTGCTCTACCCTATATATATATATATATATATATATATATATATATATATATATATATATATATATATATATATATATATATATATATATATATATATATATATAGGGTAGAGCAAGGCATATTGGGACAGTGGGGCATAATGGGACAGTCATGCCTGGAGTAAAATCTTACTGAAATTTCAACTAAAAAATTTTTTTTTTTGAAAAAAAAAATTTTTATAAGTTATTTTAAACTATTTGCTTTATTATTGTAAATAAAATGTATAATTAGGGTTATGACTCATTAACTATAAAATTTAATAATACAATACTGCTAAAACTATTATGGATTTCTACAATTTTATTAAAAAGTTCGAATTTTAGATAGACTAAATTGTCTTTCTAATTATTTTTTAAATTTCCATTAAGTAAAATGCATATACCATCCTGTGGATCAATTATTTAAGGCTTGTCCTTCAATTTTAATGTTTTAAATAATTTTAGCAGTATTATATATAAAATTGATGTAATATGTAATATTTCTGTTTTAACTTTGTTATATTTCTATGTAGTTAAGATTTTTCTAAATTTTGATAATTTAAGAATTTTTATGGCATTTAGACCTAACTGTTTCCTACAAACTAGAGAATGTTTCGAATTATTTTAAATTGTTTTCTAAATACCATTTATTTTCTTTCTGAATTTCTATTATGATTCTTATTTGAAACAAGTATTTATATCTTTTTTTAAAAAAAATTCTGTTTAAAATAATTACTAAAAATTTTAAAAAATTTATTAATCCATTTTATAATTATTTAAAAGTAATTTTTATTAAAAAATTCTAAATATGATCATGTTGAACTGTTGAAATGTTCTAGATATGATCATGTGGAACTCATTGAAAAACTATGTATCCGTGGAGCTCAGATAAACGCTAAAAACAACGAAAAATGGACTCCATTACACATAGCAATTTTACAAGATAACACCGATAGTGTCAAGCAGTTGCTAAAGTGTTCGTGTAATGTAAACGAACAAGGGGGTGAGTAAAATTTAAAACAACGTTCTTTTTTACATTGACTATCGTATCATTATATATATTTTTAAAAGACATAAAAATAAATTATATATTTTTTAAAAAACGTATTGAAATTTTTGAGTACAACATTTTAAAAAAACAACATTTAAAAAAAATAGATCACAAACTTTTTTTTTTTTATTTTTAAACTGGAAGTAAAATATACTTAAAATATAAAATATACATAAGAAGTTTCAGATAAATTTTTTTTTGTTTATAACTTTATATTTGTTTATCAAATTTCATTGCTTACATATAACTATTAAAGTAAAAAAAATTACCAATAAACTTTTTTAAAATTAAAAACAAGCCTACGGAGGAAAAGTTGTTGTAAAAAAAACATTTTTTTATTAGTTTACTTTTTTTTTTTCGATATTGGTTTATTTTTGTCGTTATACTTGAATAGCCATTATCTAGACGTTTCTTATTACTGACGCAAATAACTTTACTAGCTCAAGAATTAATCCGAATTTAATCAGAAACTCTTTTTGTGATGCTTGTGGTGTGATGTTTTTGTGATGTTTAGTGGTATGATGTTTTTGTGATGTTTAGTGGTGTGATGTTTTTGTGATGCTACTGATGTTTAGTTTGAACTTACAGGATTTAATTGAATACTAAACTTGTATACAGGTAAAATTTGTATACATATGTGCTTATTTAAATAAAAATGCATTTAAAAATCACCGTTACAAGCTACAAAAGAAAAATCCATAACAAAACCTAATCCTTCCAAAAATGCAATGAGTGAACTGAACTAATAAAAACGTGTTTTCATACTTTCTAAACAAAATTTACATTTTCATAATAGATTTCAAATTTAATTTAACAACTAATGTTCAATACTCTACAAAAATTTTTAACTTTTAAACCATTTAAAAAAGCCGTCGATAAAATTTATTTTATTTTTTAAACATTTAAAAGACTTTTTTTTTCAGCAGTCTATTTCTCCTGATTCAAACTTCACTTAACTTTTCAGCAAAAACTTCTTTATCAACAGCATGGTAGATTATTTTGTCAACAGCATGGTAGATTATTTTCTAAGCATGGTAGATTATTTTCTAAATATTTATAGTATTGTATTTATAGTTTTTATGTCAAGAAGTATTTTTTTAAATTAGGTTTTTATTTTGACAGGTGCTTGTGCATTTGTTTGCAATTTTTATTATTTGCCATAATCATTAACACTATTCAATTTACATTAATCATTTTATTCAAATATTTTGTTGAAATCCTAAAATATATTTCTCAGATACACATCTCTTTTTTATGAAGAAAAAATAATATGACAGTCTATCCCCCATGAACTTAGAAGAACCTTGTTTTGTTATAGAATCTACCTGCTTCAAATTTTCCTTTCGTTCATTTTTACAATTTCACTGTTAACTGCTTTCAATTTTACTTTAATAGAAAAAGCAGTTAAAATAGCTCCTGGATCAGAACAGCATTCATCTTTAATTTTCTAAATTGACCGGTGGAGTGGGTTATCTTTCAAATCTTCCTGTCAATGAAAACTCTATATAGTTTTTCTGATTTGATTCCATTAAATCTTTTGTTGGATCTACAGAATCATTTATAATTCTACGTCTAATTCTATCAAAGAGATATAATAGACTAGCTAGAGGGAAACAGTAAATCGTGTTACATTCATTGTAATTTTTTTCAATTATTTCAAGTTAAAATGACGCCCGGTGAAAAAGGAAATTTTTGAAATGTAGTATGTAAGTTTTGAAAACCGTAATCGTAATAACTCACTTAAAAGTTGAACCGTAATCGAAATAACTCACTTAAAAGTTGAACTGTAATCAAAATAAATTCACTTAAAAATTTTTCTGACTGATTAAACTATCAAGAAGTTTACAACAAAAACGATTGTACGATAACGAACGATCGATAAAGTAATCGTTTATATTTAAAATATTGAAACCGCAAATATAGGAATATAATTTTTTGTAAATTCGGAAAAAATACTTCCAATTCTGATCTAGAATTATAACCTAAAAATTTATTAATAGTCGTTCCAAAGAACACAACATAAAAGTAAACTAAAATTAAACTAGTAAAATTCTTTATCAATTTTTTTGAACTTTTATCTTTTTATAAAAGAACTTCATTAGCTATCAAAACTTCATTAGCTATCAAAAAATGCAAATGAAAGTTTGCAATTTTTAATAACTAATGAAGTTTTGAAACAATAACATTGGATAGTCTTTTTTATTTATTTTTGATTACAACTTTAACTTTTTCAGGATTAGTATTATTTATGTCGAAATAACCGATAGCTTCTCTTCATTATATGATTCAGCAATTTTAAAGTAATACTTTCCAGTTTAAAATTTAAATGGAAACTTTATGTAACCCAAACTTATATGAAGATTAAATACCTAAATTTCCAACGCAATCTTCCTAATTTCTAACACCTAACTAAATTGCTAAGAAATTACCAATGAATTATATATAAAGATGAAATACCTGATTTAATACCGAATTTTTTGTTTAATTAGTAATACCTACCTAGTTACTAGTAAAATTATATGATGATGAAATACCTAATTTACTGTCTATTGATTATTTAATACATTAAAAGTTTATCAAATAGCATTTTCAGCATAACAAGACATTTTCAAATCTGTTATCTTTTCTTGACAACTTTAAAGTGGTTTAAAGTGGTTTAAAAATGCATTGCTTTAAAGTTACATAGGCCAATATTTAAGTTTGATAGTTCTAAAAATGGTGGAGTTGATAGGTTTGATAATTCCAAATAGTAGAATTGATAGGTTTGATAGTTCCAAGCAAAGTTGATAGGTTTTCTTGTCCCAAGTAGTAGGGTTATTAGGTTTGATCCAAGCAAGTAACGATTTTTGAAATCAGTTTTGGCGCAGTGGTTAGAGTTTTTTTTATAGAACCAATGGTTCAAGGTTTGATAACAGGCCTGTCTAACCAAATATGCAACATTGGAAGAAGGCATGTAAATACCACCAAAAAAAAATTATTTTAAAAATATTTATAAAAACGTGTAATTATGAAGACTTGTCTTTAAAACTTTTAAAATATAATTTACTATGAAAGCATCATCAAGTAAGTTTAAATTTAACCTTAAACCCAGGGGCGTCCCGAAGAGATTGTAAAGGGGGGTACCATGTCTACTTTTTGCCGATTAAAGCGAAAAAAATATTTTTTGCCCAGTAACTTATCAAAAAAAAAAATAGGTTTCCTTTTTCCGACATTTGCCGACTGCCAACTATAAAACTAATTTTACCGACGCTATTGTCCCATTTGCCGACTAAAAAAGGGGGCTAGACACCCCCTTCGCCCCTCTCTAGGGACGGCCCTGCTTAAACCTCAAAGTATAAATATTCATAACAATAATAATATTAATAATCGTAATAAAAAAAATAATAACAAACACTTTTACTTTTATTGATTTATATTTTTTAATTCTATTAATTTTAATTAATTAACTATTTGTGTTTTTAAAATTGAGTTTTTTTTGTTTTAATGAAGTGTAACGAGAGAAGTGTGTAAGTGTAAAGTCTGAAGTAATGCTTTTTTTTAATTCTTTTTTCTTTCTGCATTTACTATTTATGTATCAGTAATTCGGTATCAGCAACTTTTTATTTACATTCCCGTATCTGTATTTCTGTAATTTTTGTATAGAACAAAAAAATTAATTAAAGCAGTTTTTTAAAAAATATATATATTTTTGCGTTTTACGTTAAAAATTATTAATTCTTTGTACCAAAGGACCTGAAGAAGACACTCCATTGCATATGGTATTAAAGTTAGATAAAGATGAGGAGATTTTTAAAGAGATTTTAAAGTGGAAACCAGATATTACCATCAGAAACAAAAACTCTCTTTTACCAATTCAAATAAAAACAGAAAGAGAATCATTGAAAAAAATGCTTAAAGATTACTCACGAAATATGTAATTTAAAATTTAACTAAAATAATTATTGATAAATTAACTAGAGTTAATAAAAACAAAAATAAAATATTTAAAAATTTTTATGAAGTTATTGATGTTGGGATTTTTACGTTTTGTTGATGGTTTTGGATGATTACGATTAGATGAACCTACACTCTTAATTAAAAGGTGTAAAACTACACCATTTTGGTGTTTAAATAACCTCAAACGGTGTTTTTTTGAAAGTTATTTGAGCGAAAGGTTTAAACTAACACTGTTTTGGTGTAATTATACACTCTAAAGTTTAGTTTTTAAAAAAACGGTGAAAAATAATACCCTTTTATATTCACTATAAGGTTTCAAAAAGGTGTAAAAATGGAGTATTGTAAAGTTTTTCTTCCTTTACACCTTTTAATTTAACGGTGTAAAACGGTGTAAACTTATTTTACACCTTTTAACAAAAGTATAATTTTAGTTTTTTCATAAAACGGTGTAAACTTTACCGGTTACACGGTATAATACTGTTTCCACTGTAAAACTGCTTACAAAATGGTGTTTCACAAAACATAACAAAGCTGTTTCAAACCATTTTATTAAGCAGCTTATATAAAAGTGTGTCAACATTAGATGGTGTATAGTTGTTTTACGTCTTTTTTTATAAAAGTGGCCAACAATTTTACACCATCATAAACTTATTAATAAACGTTGTAAGACATTTTATTGTTTAACGTATTATTGTGGTAATAAGACATTTGCCAGTATATATTGCATGCAATATAGTACAATGTTAATAAACACATTTTTAACTGCGTGAAATTTGCGTATTATAGGTAGTTTGCAAGTAGCTAAAAAAGAATTCAATTAACTCATATTAAATTTCTTTGGTCAAATAAATTATTTAAATTATGCGTGTTGCTAAAGAGGCGGTTAATACCTCCGCACTAAACTTTAAAATTTTCTAGAGTGGCGGCAAAATTCATGACGCAAAATACCGTCACCTAAAGTTGATTTTTTACTAAAGTGGCAGTAAGTATCGTCGCACTAAGTTTAAAAATCGCTA